GTCTTGTGACTTGTCTTTGTGTCTGGTCAGTGTTCTGCAGGAGGAGAAACACATTCTGTAGAGACCGCAGTGTCCTGACAAACTCTGCAGACTCTTTCACAAGACATTTCTGATGGAGAATGATTTTTTTTTTTCTGCAGGAGCTTGCAGCTCGCCTCCAAGCTCATGAGGAGAGGAAACGGCAAATCTTGAGACAGAAGCAGCGCTCTTTGAACCAAGAGACGGAGGACGAACGCCTTGCCCGTCATCTTGCTCGGGAAGAGAAACTGAAAATTCAGCAGCAGCAGCAGCGAGCTCAGTACAACCCCAGAGATGACAGCAGTAAGTGGCCAAAATGAGCCAAATCTTTCAGTATTCAGAGTAAAGTGAATGAGAGTAGAAGAGTCACTCTTTAAATTTGGGGTCCACAAATTTGATGCCTTTGGCATCACTGAAAGTGACTTCCAACTATTTGTATTCGTGTGGCAGTTAATTTGCATTACTTTATCACTCTGGAACATTAAAAATGCATTCTAAATGGGGACTTGGAAAACTTGGACCTCAGATTTATAGAATGGCCTGTAAGGTAGTTGAGGTGAACAATTTTTTTGCTTGGCATCTACTAATCTTATCAGTTGATATAATCTCCAAGCCTAACTATGCACTCAGCCAAAAGCTGGAACCAAAAATCGAAAAACCAGAAACTGGAATTCAGAATGCAAAACTCTAAGTAAGGTTCACAGGGCCTGTTATTCTGCATGTGCGTGCTTATGCATGCTTCTATCTTCATGTGCGCATTCAGTTGCAAAATTAGCCCCACAGAGCCGTGCATCCCTGGTTGAGCCTCATGACCTTACACCAGAACTTTGTTTAGTGTTATGAACCTTGATTTGCCAAAATAGCCCTTTCTGTTTGGCCTTTTTCCTTAAAAGTTGGCCGTTTTATTTTTACACCACCAATTAATAAAATTGAAAGCAGGTTCTTTTTTAATAATTTCTTCATCTCCAACTTTTCAAGCTTGGATGTTAAGCTTGGTAGAGGGATTGTTACCTTTCCTGTTTGAAGCTACTAACCCAAGCTGTTTGGGTTTACTTTTGTCTTGTGGCATTGCATGGATTTACCTCATCCACTAACCGCTTCCTAACTAAACCAAGCGCGCCGCCATCGAAGCAAGCCCAACAAGCAATCGGAGTCAAGGGCTCATAGAGAAGGTCCAGAGCTAACTTATCCAAGGGATCATGGGCACAAGCACAGATCAGCTGAGTCACCACTGAGAGACTGGCCTCAGGAATCCAAGAGGCATACTGATAAGCCGAGACCACCGGCTGACCCTTGGGAGTACCAAGACAAATTGAGACAGACGGAGCAAAGGCAAAGGCAAAGGCAGGCCGAGCCCGAGGAGGCTAGAGATGGACAGATGCCTTTGGAACCCCCAGAACATAGGAGGAAACATAGGTCCCTAGAGTCAAGAGAACATCCCGACAAACCAAGAGCAGTCAACAGTTTGGAATACCCAGACAAATCTAGATCATTAAAGCATGGAGATGTGCGAGACGTTCGAAGGCCAGCAGAGACAGAGCAACATGGTGACCAGCAAGAGCCGCTGGAACCTCCTGAACGTAGAAAGAAGCACAGACGACCAGAGCACAGTGAGCCTAAAGATAAGCATGGGAAGAAAGGTACACGTTTACCAACCATCTTAGAAAGACCACTGTCTGATCTTCAAACTCTCTAACACATTCTACTTTTTATTATATGAATGCTTTTCTCAAAGAAGCTACTAACTTTGCATGCTAGCTGGAGCAGGTTTGGTGGTGTCGCAACTCTAACACCCAACTTTGGTGAATAGAATGTTGTGTCAACTAACAAATGAGAGATAACTATGACTGACTTCTTGTGTTTTTAATAGAACTTTAAAAGTCAGAAATTTGTTTGTTTTGAATGTTTGGTAATGTGTTAACAGATGTTGATAAATAGTCACAAACACAGAATGCACATTGTGAAATCCATCGTGTAGCTGGAGCTTCTCCGTCATGTTATGATTCCACTCTGCAGACTACCTCATGCCAAATGTTGCTGGGCTCACGGTAGCAGTGGACGATGAACCATTGGCAGACCTACCCAAGAAGCATAAACCACGTCAGCTGCCGCGGCAGCAGAGCGCACCAGTCTATAGTGGACGTGGACAAAGCGACAGTGATGAGGAGACAGATGTCATCGCTAAAATCCAAGATGACGAGGTAGGGGAAAGGAACTTTTTCACTCTCCGGCTTCGTGTACATGTATCTAATGAAAGCAGTACTTAGAATTTGAAGAATGGTAAAACACTTCAGATTGTCTCATGTGAAAGGTTTTGAAACATTTCTTTAGCTGTGTAGATTTGTGTTTTATTGTAAGGTCGGGTTGAAGGTCAGATGTTACAGATGGTTATGAGGAATTAAAAAGCACACAACCACCAACAGCTTACCTCAGGCATTTCAATCATACCCTTCTCTAAAAATGATGTCAATTTAGTAGAAATCATTTTGCAAGCTTGATAAAGACATTGAAGTAGTTATTTTTGTAATGACTATAATATGTTGACATGTTTTTTGTAATTTGTTCAGAGTAACTATGGCCACATTGCTGCTTTTTGGATATATTTATCATTTTTTTTACAATTATGATCTTTGTATGAATTCATCTGTGAAGACTCGCTGTTCATTCCTTGGATGCTAAACCACTAGGTTCTCTGGTGATATTTTTTGTCCCTCAATTCCCTGAAGATTCCTCCAAAGATCTGACAATCTATGCAAATGAACTGTTTCAATCAGTGACGAATGAAACATCTTGGTTCCTTGATAATTTCTTTGGATATGTAGCATCATAGTACATGCACAACAAAAAGTGGAAAACAGAAGGTAATATATTCATTACAATGTAAACTTGGCTGGTGGTTCAGGGAAGTTGTTCTTGCATGATTCTTCCTCGGTGCTTATCGTTGTACCCTGAGAATTTGTGTTTTTTACTTGTTACTGAATCTAAATTATCCATTGCATGGCAATGCTTCTCTTTCAGGTTGGAGGTTTTTCATAGTTTTGTCTTCAGTCTGTTTTTCTGAATTTAAGCCCTTGCATAATTTGGCCTAGAAAGACATTTTCAGTACACTTGAGCACTGCTTTTTGCCCTGTCATGGAAAATATGCCAGCATCCCTACATTTTCCCACATCCCAATTGCTGTTATGAAGACCTGCTCACCATATTCAACGGTCATACATGTATATCCTCCATACTGTGGAGACATCTGCAACAACAGAATACCAGCTTCCATGTGTTCAAGTCCAGCAGACAGTATGTTTGGGAGCTATCCAAAAAAATTAAGTGCAGCTGTTGATATTGAATTGCTGCTGTTGGCAAGGAATTGCACCTGTTGACAAGGAACTGCAGCTGTTGACAAGGAACTGCAGCTGTTGACAAGGAATTGCAGCTGTTGACAAGGAATTGCAGCTGCTGACAAGGAATTGCAGCTGTTGGCAAGGAATTGCACCTGTTGACAAGGAACTGCAGCTGTTGGCAAGGAATTGCAGCTGCTGACAAGGAATTGCAGCTGTTGGCAAGGAATGGCTGCTGTTGACAAGGAATTGCAGCTGTTGGCAAGGAACTGCAGCTGTTGGCAAGGAATTGCACCTGTTGACAAGGAACTGCAGCTGCTGACAAGGAATTGCTGCTGTTGGCAAGGAATTGCACCTGTTGACAAGGAACTGCAGCTGTTGGCAAGGAATTGCAGCTGTTGACAAGGAACTGCAGCTGTTGACAAGGAACTGCAGCTGTTGACAAGGAACTGCAGCTGTTGGCAAGGAATTGCAGCTGCTGACAAGGAATTGCAGCTGTTGGCAAGGAATGGCTGCTGTTGACAAGGAATTGCAGCTGTTGGCAAGGAACTGCAGCTGCTGACAAGGAACTGCAACTTTCCAACAGCTGGTCATATCATAGTCCCAGTCAAAGTTAATTGCGTCTGACTTGCCACGCTCAGTCATCTTTCCTCAGACTCATACTCAGTCTCTCTCCTCTTCACAGGAACTTGCAAGGAGGCTACAGAGAGAAGAGATACAGAAGTCTAGAGCCCCGGCTCAACTCTCTGAACAACAACGGAAACAACTCATGCATGATCAGGTACAGACTATTCATTTGTCCTCCATGGAGTAGAGATTACGTGAATATTTTGTTACGGTCTTTCCTTTCTTTATGCATGAAAATCTGTACTTTCTGGCTTGTATTCCGAGTCTCTGATTAAATATTGACAGAAAATTGCCATCAAGATGCAGCATGAAGAAGTGATGTTTTCCAAGAAGTCCACGTATGATAACTACATGGGGAAAGTCAAGGATGAGATTGCAGACCCTGATGTGAGTACTTCTGCTCTGTCATCTGATTCTGTTTGATTACATTAGACTTGGCTGTGTTGGGTTTGATTGGGCAGATTTTGGGTTTGAATGGGCTGGGTTAGGTTGGGTTGAGTTGGGTTGGGGAGGGTTGGGCTGGTTGGAGTTGAGTTGGGCTTGGCTGGGCTGGGTTGCATTGGGTTGTAGTAGGTCAGGTTGGGTTAGGTTTTGTTAGATTGGCTTAGGCTGGGCTTTGCTTGGCTGGGTTGGGTCAAGTTGGGCTGGGCTGCATTGGGCTTGGCTGAGTTTGTATTGCTGGATTTGTTTGTCCTGGACTTGTTTGGGCAGAGTTTGGATGGCCTGAGTTGAGCTAAATCTTTTGCTTATACCTCCGGTTTTAATTATTTTTCGGTTTCTGTTCTGCTAGCCCATGGTCCATGTCAGTCGCCAGAACAAAACAGCAGTTCCTGCGGATGCCAAGAATGCAAGGGGAGTGCAGCTGACTGATTACACAGCTGCGGTAAGGCAGATGATAGAGAACACAAATTTTGTTTGAGTTGCTCTTTGCTGTAACAGAGAATGCTCTTCTCAAACTAACCTCAGTTTGTTGCAGTCAGATCTTCATCCTATATGACGGAAATCATACTAACAATAGACAGGTGGTAATGCAGGCGTCTCGTCTTTCTGTGATTGTAGGAGGTTGCTCAGCAACGGCGTACCAGCGGGAGTGGCCAGTCAGGGATGGAGGGTAACATCATCGCCAGCATTGATCCAACCTTCAGTAAGCCAGATCCTGGTAATGTGGTCCTGATCAAGAAGAAATCAATTACCGAAGAGCCATCTCCACCCCCAGGTATGGTTGCTGAAAGGCTAACAGCAGCTCTGGAACCCAGTTTCTGGGAAAGCCACAGAAATAGTTAACGACACTCCAGAGGCATTTGCTATGCCACCACCCTCTGGTACATTTTCGTGTACACCAGTGACAGATTTGTGCGCATTTTGTTGAAAGTCGCTAGTGCCTGCTGAGTGCTTTTTGGCATGTAAGACTCAACTGTGGTACATGTGCACCTTTATCTACAACTTTAGCCGTGTCCAAATCCACTGGCTGAGGCTGAGGGTAGCACCCATGTCTATGGGAAGTGGTTACAGCCTCTAGCTAGTGATTTCTATAAGTGCCTGTTGAATTGAATATGCAGCCACAGCTGCAACTTTCAAATGTAGCCACATGGAAATCTATGGTGAAGTGGCTACAGCCATTAACCTGTGACGTCCATAGGCTTACATATTATTTCTAGCCACAGCCGCAACATGTCCACAATCCAGCGTATGCATAAACCCTGCCCTTACTGTGCTGTTCAGACAACCCAAGCAGAACCCCCCATCGTTGGTCGCACAGAAGTAACAGCATGGCATCTTCAAACTCTTATGATTGAATGCACCTGTTATTTTCGCTTCATTTTACAGATGGTGACGATGCCTTCAACCCCGTCCCAGGAACAAGGCGTAAGGACTCAAAGGATAAGGGAAAAAGAAGCAGCATTTTTTCCAAACTCAAGAAAAAGTAACAAGCGTCCGTCCTCCCCTGTACATTTTTCCAGTTATCCAAAATGAAAGTTTCATCAATTCACCAAATACGCAGAGTGTTTTCCCGTTTTTTTTTTACATGAAATATAACCCAACGGTACAGGTGGAAGAATATATATAGGGATACACACCTGTGGATTGGCGAGGAGGTCACTTGTGCATGTCTGTGTGGCCTAAGGGACTGTAGGTGACGAGACGAGAGCCAAAGGTCAAGGGAAACTGGACACTCTTTTTGGTGCTCACAGGCCGGATATGAATGTGTGCAAGTGACCAAATATGGCAGTCCAGTTGTGTTTTATGACACACCTCCGCCCAAAAAAGTTACAGGAGAAACTGTTCAGGTTTTGATCGCCAAACTGTTTCCATTCAGCTGTTAGCTTGATTTATAAGCTATTCAACATGTTTGTAGTTTCCCTGTGTTCAGGCTGCTGTTTACCGTTCTCGTCACTTGAGGGCGCTGTAAACCGTGCCCAATCAGGCGGTGTTCTGTGGATAGTACACATGCTTGATGCCTTGGCACACGTCCAATTCACACTGATGCAAAGTTCATGCACTGGCCTATACTAGCTAACCCCATGTGACCATTTTTCAGCCAATCAGGATTAAAGAACCTGCAAGAGGTGTGTTATAATCACATTCATGTTACTGATTTTGATGTTGATATGTAACCCATGCTTACATTCTGTGATGGGAGATTCTTCAAGTCCATGATCCCAAACAACTGTATTCTGCAAAATGGCATTAAATGTCATTTTTCAGTCTTCGAAAGTCCTCAAAAGGTGGTGGAATTAATTACAATTAATTGCAAATAATTGGTTTTTGATTTTCCAGTTTTTGTTTTCTGAAGCATCATGCACAAAGAGGAAGTTGTATTAGATTGCAAGTACAAGATTTGAAGTCCTTTCACGAATTTGGCATATTTTGTAACAGTATATGTGTCACATACAGTAATTGGGCACATTTATTTAAATTAAATGCTTCGACAGTGAATACGCATTGCTGTGTGTCAGTTCTAATGCCATGTAAAATTGTCTTTCAAAACTGAGGTGATAAATGGAGTTCCCAGCTGGTCTGAGTCGACAGCAACAGTACAAACTACTTCAGTGCTAAAAAAGTTCCTGTCAAATTTTAATCATGCTCTTGTATTGTTAAAGTCAGGCTGAAACAACGGAATATGGACAATGAAGTTGTTCCCACTAATGCAAACCTTGCTGAACAAAAACATTTTGCACTGAATATTTCCTCTTTCGTATCGCTTCCGTGGTGTCTTTTATTTTTTAATTAGAATTTGTAAAGCATTCAGTTTTTTAGAAAAATGCATCTTGAAATTGCCAGTAATACTTATATATCTGTAGATACAGAAACTTATTTGTATATTAAATATTCACAGGGCAATATAATCTCTCTTGGAAATGTGTTTTACTATTTTACAGGAAATATACTTATGTTACAGAAGTGATCAGAGTTTGAAGAACTTTTGACGTTTCTTCCAGAGGTCTTTTTTTTTCTTGCTTTCATCTAAGTAATCTAGCAACATTAATCTCAATCTTTCACTTGACTTAGTTGAGAAACACTGGTCAGTTTCTATGAATTGAAGGTTTAGATCTTTGTAAATATGGGACGGCGGCTGATTTAATTCTGGAAAGTTGGGTTTTTTTGGGGGGGGGTTTGATTTGGCATTCTCAACTGATTTGGACATGTTCATTTTGTATCTGTATTTTGTATCTGCCTGATTTCTGTAAACCTTTATTTCTCACGAAGCTTGTTTCTTGAAAAGGCCGGAATGTTTACTTCTGCTTGTTATGTGGAGTTCTTTGTACAGTGAAGGAACCAAAATAGCACAAAAGTGACTCATGTTTATCAGGTTAAGCAAATTAATCAGTAAAAGAGAGTTCTGGAGAATCTGAACGCTCATTTGTTTAAATCACAGTGTATCTAGTTTTGTATCAAGTGTTATCTTGCGCATAGACCAGTCAGTTGTTTGTTGACGTTAGAATGTGGAAGATGCAGAGGTGATGAAGGAAAGCCAAGCAATTGGAGTTCTGAAATGGTGATAAGAAGCTGTTGCAATTTCTCAGAAGCATTATTGAGAAGTATAATGCACATTTCTTTTCAGATAGCTTATCTTGTATATATTTCCAAAGATTGGTTCAAGACTATAAATGGGCACACTCTCAAATGAATCAGAAATTGAGAAATGTTTCCCTTTGTAGTGTGAATGCTATGTTATTCCTCTTTTGTATTCTTTGTATGTATTTTTTTTTCTCGGAAATAAAATTATTTTCATCAAACATTCGTGGAATATGCTGTTGTTGTTATTTCAATTGTATGTTCCACAGTATTTTCGAGACTATTGACTATTCATTATTTAGATGTTCACTCTGATGCCTGGTTCAAGTATCCAACGAAACTTTATTTGTCCACGGAAGATGCACATGCACCAACCACGTATCTTATTATTTTTTTAAATGCATGTATTGTTGATGCACTCGGGTAAGGAACCCTCGTCAACAAATACACTGCCGGCAATATGCCTCGAATTAAAGAGCTTCAAGTTTCTACTAAGATTGCATTATTGCCCAAGACCACGACGTCCTAGCGCCCCCTTGTGGACGTTGTGGAAACCATCAATCGATTTTTCTTTTGGGCAAAGTTTTTTCATCAGATCAGTAACAAGATCGTGCAATTTGTTTCCAAAGTGTTACTGAGAGCAGCTTTAACAAAAGGTTCATGTAAATTGATTGCAGTTTTTTGCAAGGACTTCATGGGATTGGTGATAACTGCATAACCATTCTTTTGTGGCATCCTTTCAGCATCTCAAGGCCGCATTGTTGTCCCGTAAAGTGACCAATTGAATGACACACCTCAGAGAATCGATTTCTCCATCGGCAATAATCTGTCGTGGTGGGGTATGGGCACACAGGCTTAAAATGACTTAAAATTTCTCCAGATCCATTTCGGGATGAACATGGATGTGTGTTTGTTTGATTTCTAGAGTCAGGAAACAAAGTTGGTGCAGAAAAAGGAAATCCCCTCCAAGGACACATCCTTAACATTTCTTGCGTGGAAGATATTCAGTTATGAAAATTGTAGTTTCAAAATGCACTCAGCCACATGCAATTTGTACAGATGCTAACTTGGCCTTTTGCTGAGCGTAAAAATGTAGCGATCACACACAAGCATCCACAAAAAACCCAGCATCATCACCATGTAAGAAAATCTACCTTTATCGATTCATCTCTCAAGGACATAGATGGGTGTTCCTTCTTCCATGGTGTCAGTGTGCACCTGCCATCCGAGAGCTGGCAATCCAGCCCCCTGGCCCTCCCGTCCCCAAATCACCCCTATCCCTCCCCAACCTTCGAAAAATCTTTCCACCAATGTACCATCATTTTTCTTGGTCTTTTTAGCCAACTATTAACCACACCATTTCAAGCCAATTACCTGAGTTCGTTATGAAATCAGCATGCGCGATATTTTCTGCCTGAACGCAGAAAACGAATCGTGATGACCGATCAATTATCAACCTGTTTTTTCATCACCTGAATAGATACAAAACTTAACGCCGGAGTTGTGTAATGCGCCCGAGTGGGCTCCTAATGGCGAAGATTTGTCCTACTTCCCTGCGTATCATTGGGCTTGTTTTGGGCGCTTACTTACGACTGAAACCATTAACTCTGCTAGTGTGCCGGGAGACCAGAACGTCAACTTTTTGGCTGTCCAAAAACCGACAATTCTGGCCTGTATTTCGTGGATTTTACGGCCGAGCTGGGGGTGGCGGAACCCAGCAAGATAGCCCAGGTATCATGTCGACCAAAGTGATCTATTTTCTGGTAGATGACAGGCCTGAACAAGCTGAATTTCGTTCCGATTTTCCAGCGGATGATATCAAAGGTGAGTGTCGACAGTGGTTGTTTACCGTGCCGTGTGTGTACGACCGGCGTGTTGTTTAGGAGCGTTAGGCACCCCGTGTTTGTTTCTCGCGTCGTTATCATCGCGGCTTTCCAGCTGAATAAGAATCGCAACAAAACTGCCGTTATTGAATCGCTGTTATTCCTTCTCCCCGTGGGGTATAGGATTTTTCTTTCATACCAACAGTAGAATCGGAAAATAGAATAAAAATTGATTAAAAATAAAATGAATTAACCGTAGAATTAGGAAAAACTTCCGTTATCTGGACTTTACTTGACACCCTGCTGTGCACAAACTCTGAGTGGCATCAGACGCCAACTTGCCTGAATTTTGTACTTGTGTTACTGCAGTCTTCAGAACCTTCAGAAATGTAACCTGCGTGGAAACGCCTAGCTGGAGGGGCCAGGCTTACATGTACTGAACAAGCAGTTTGCAACACTGACTTCAGGAAATTCTTTACACACATAAATCATTTCTTACTAGTCACTGTTCTCAATTTGGGTCAGAGTAGAAGTTACACTTGTGCATGTACGTATACATGTACATATGTACTTATACTTATGTGAATATTATTTCTTTAAAAAGGTGAATGAATACTTATATCTGAGTTTTGAAAAGTTCGTTTACATAGAGCACTTTAGGCAAAATAAAAACAGGCTAAATGTTAGCATGGTAAGTTATGCTGCTCATGCAAGTCTGGCTTCAGAAATGTTGATTCACATGATTACATGTACCTCCGTTCTCAGGGACTTTAATGTCAGAAAACAGTAGTTGAAATTATTGGATTTATTCCTGGGCAAGAAATCAGCGTAACTTACAACCATTGATCGGCTCTGTTTTTCTAAATCGTATTCTTTGAAACTAAAGATCCTTTTTTCCCAGAGTTTCAAAGTTACACGTACATGTAGCCGCATGTTCACCTTGCAAGTGATGTGCTTTGCTATTTGCTGTGTTCTGGTCCGTTCATATAAAATGGAACACGTGACAGATTTTTTTCCCTGCCATGTTTTGATTGTATCCTAGCACCTGTAGGCTTAACCCGATTATAGCTTACAGTTTACGCATGTGAAGATAGTTCAAACATCGACAGCCAGTTGAGTGGTTGTTGGCACGACTAAAGAGAGTAGTTAGACTCAGAACCTGTCCTCGGCTGTCCCAAATTTGAGGATTTGTTAACACACATCTGGACAAATAATATTCAGTTCAACATGACCGGTTTCAGACTTTCAGTTCACAGGTAAGCTGTAAACGAGAATGAAAGTTTCACCATGCCGACATGTATTCATGGTTGAAGCAGACTTGCAAACAAATGATCCCATTGGGTAAATGCATAAATTCAACACCTGTTATCGTCTGCTGCACCTGCCAGTAAATTTGACATGAATGGGGCAGGCACTGTGTGGTTCGCCCACGGATTAGTTAGGTACATGTAGGCTGCCCCCATCAGTGGCTCCACCCAAAACCTTGGAAAGAGTTGCATATAGGGACAACACCTATGCACAAACCTACTGTATAAGAAAAAATATTGTTTTCTAAGTAAATGCTTTGGAATTTTCTTAGCTAAATTTCATTTTTTTAGGACATGTTACCGCTTTCACAGGGCTGTTATAACATTTTTAGGGCAAATTAGTCTTGTCCGTATTTGGAGCTCTTTCCAAGTCCTTTTTCAGTGTACAGTGTGCAGTAGTTCTGATAATTGAAATATTTGCCAGAATTTGACAATCCTTGTCCTTGAAGTTGTTCACCATTCCTTAAAAACTGCTCCCCGTTTGACAAGCAATTCCACCTTCTCTCTCCTGTTACTCCTCCTAGAGGACAGGGTCAATGTCCCCAGTATCATGGTAGTTGAGTTATTAAAACATCTGCATCAGCAAGACTGAAGTTGCAAAATCACCTCCTATGAGAAAAGGCCTGTGAAGCTTTTGTTCTCTCTTGCCGACACTCAAAGACCAGATTTGTAATGTTGCATACTGCATCCGGTTAGCCATACATTTAAACACCCTCTGAACCCTGCACCAGCTGTGTTCAAGCTGTTTGATCATTTTGCCGCCACAGAAGTGCAAAATGGAGAGGGAAAAGGCAAGATTTGTGTACAACCGTGTGTCCCTTTACTGTGTTGTTTTTGTGTCGGCCAGGATACATTGATCAAAAAATACAATGTTTACAGGGGTAGACAGGTGTACCTAACACTGCACGTCTGCAAGACTGATGTGGTCGGCATGGCGTAGAAGCTAAATGCTTCTCTGATCATGTTGAAAATACTCATGATGTTCACATGTACGTTTTGCAGATTTTGTGTGTGTAACTGTAACACATCTGGAAACATGAGCTAACAATCCCCAGAATGTGGACAATGATTGAATATTCATTTCATTTATTTGCCAGATAAAAGGGCATACAAAAATATGCAAATTGCATACATTACAAAATTACAAAATCTTGAAATAATATGAAAGGATGCACATGTACAGTATTTTCAGCTTGAAATATTCCTGAAGAAAATGAATAAAAGTATCAGCCTGAACCCAAGACGACCCAGAATTGCTTCTCTACCAAGTAAACCAAGCTACACAGGTTCTTCTCTGAAAGTTCATTGAATGCAAATCCCGTTGATTGAATTGAAAGCATCTGCGGTTTTTAATCAGCATTGTTCAATACACTCATTGTAAACACATTTGTACAAGTAAGCTGCCTTCACAGTAAGTTGCCGTGTTTCTTGTGACTGATTACTTCAGCATGGATGAACCAACTTGCATTATGCATCACCATATACCGGTCAATGCTTTAACAAAAACACAGATTTTCTGTTTACAGTGACATTCATAAATTCTGTCACAGGCTCCTAAACGTGAATTATCGAATGTTTACCTGGGAAGACCTGGGCATGTATTTGAGGTGCATGTCGTTTTATTACTGCAGTGTTTCCACTGATAGAGCCGCCCCTGTCTTCCCTCGCTGAAATTTACCAACATCTCTCACGGCTCCAGTTGACTGTTTACATGAGGCTGATGTAAAGCGCTGAATGTGAGATTGCTGGCTTTTCATCTCTCAAATGGACAAGATTTTCTGTATTTGTATAAAAAATAAGATAAGACAGAGGCTCATCTGAATTGAGGGGGGAGATCTGTCAGAACGAACGTTGTGTCTGTCACGATCAAAACGTTTTTGGCCGACTGCGGTTGACAACGTGCAATGTACATATATGCACCTGTACCTGCGTGACATTGCGTGTCATAATTGTCATTTGCTCCCACCGTTTGTCATGTGCGCTTTGTGTACCTACATGTACACTTACATTTGCTTACTAGCTTCAGAATCTCAGAGAATCAAAAGCAGGGTTGCAGGGTAAGTAGGGCTGAACTCCAAAGACTGGAAATCTAATTTACCCTATCCCGCTAACTCGAGCAGTACTCACCCTCTAAAACACTGCACACATGAAAACTTGTGTTGATATTTTTCAGAGTAAAAAAGGCCCATCTTTGCAATTTGTGGGTATGCTGTTGAAGCAATACAAGCACTTTTCTTATTATTTCACATTGTTTGTTAAGCTCAGTAACAGTACTCTGAGCAATTTTTACAGGACTGGAACATTGCGGTGTTTTTTAAATTTTTAAACTGTTTGCCCAGATGTTAAATGAATACATGTACAAAACCTTTCATATTTTGTGTAATATTAAACGCATGTAGTCCCTAGAGCAGTATAGTACTTAAAATAATGCAACCATCTTTTCCCATACCAACTCACTTCACTCTTTTGAGTTTGATGTAAGTGGGTCATGAGCACTTGCCCCTCACAAGTATGGGTACTTCACCCAGATTATGGCTAGACAAGTTTATCAAGTCTGTAAATAGAAATGTTGCCGGCATTTGGTTGTTTTGATGTAGCGAGATTATGTACATTTTTAAGCCAGCATTTTTTACGCGCATCATGCGCTCAGCATTTCTGTTGATTATTCTGTAAACTACATGCACCATTCTGGACTGTCAGTAATTCATTATTGGGATGAAACGGGAAGAGTCTGCCGTGTTGCTGTCAACTTGCATTGCCTTCACCGTTCCTGGCTGGCCGCTGGTACTGTGGCCAACGGGCAGGCTGAGCTGGCCCGGCTGGATCAGGTTACTGTTTGCTGCCATTAAGGCGCCACCAAGGAAGTGGAGGCCTCCATATACCACGTTCCTTCCGTGAAATGAATTCAAAAGCGTCAGGAAATGCCATTTTTGAAATGTACCGGTAATGTACATGTACCATGTGGGACCAAGCAAATTGCTAGTGATATTGTCATAGTCTTCTCAGATTTACGTCTTCTTAGATTTACACATTGAATTGAAATGGGTCAGGAAAATCCATTTTGAAATGTACTGGTAATGTGCCATTTGGGACCATGCAAATTGCCAATGACACGTGACTCAAATTAACACATCATGTACATGTGAAAGGAAGTTTTGGACAACCTTGTGTTGGGCTTTTCCATTGTTTGATAATGAGGGTCTGTATTCCGATCAGGAGACAAAAATGTGAAACAAATTTCACAAATGTTAAATTTATCCTGGCATTTATTGTAAACAGTGTCAAACAGGAGGATCACTGAAAGGACTGAGCAATTCTTGGGATTCTAACAAAAAGGCATTTATTAAATAAGGAACTTGCAACCATTTGAAATGTTGGGATCTATTGTAGTAGTCCTCTGTCTTGAACACTGGCAGTGTTTGCTATATACATGTACATGTAGGTACATGTACCTGCCCACGTACATGTACATGTACTTAGGCTCTCCCTGCTCCACTCCAATCATTTGTAAAACAGTGAAGATAAAAAGATGCAGACAAGCATGCTTCAAATGGATGCATTGTGAAGAACATACATGTACCATATAGTACCTGTACAGGTGCCGTATAAGGTGCCAGTTTAATAACATATTGGACTAATTACTGGGGATGAAATTCATAGCCAAGATTGGTCAGCCTGATGGATTGTGTGATTG